ACTGGGGGTGGGGGGAGGGGAAGGCCATTAAAGCATCAAAATGACTACAAAAGTGTAGTTTGATTCTGGAGGGATAAAGATATACTTCTACCCTTAACCTAAAATTTAAGAGCATAAACTTTGGAGCCCAAATACCTGAATTTAAATCACATCTCAATAGCTAGCAAACTTGACTTTGGTTAAGTTTCTTGGTCTATTCATGCCTCACTGTACTTTTCTATACAATGAAAATCATAATAATAATATCTACCTCATAGAGTCAAATGAGTTAGTATTTGTAAACTTAGCATACTGCCAGGCACCACATAAACACTAAACAATATAGATTTTATTGTCATTGTTGTGTTATGCTCGAATTCGGGACCCCCAAAAGACCACCAGAGACCAAGATCGATGTAAACAGCAAAGAGGTGTTTATTGCAATAGCTAGGTTCTCCACTCGCACATAGTAACTGGTGACGCTGAGAGGCCCTGAGCCCAGGTTTTGCAGTAGTTTTATACATTCTTTGGAGAAGGCAGGGACCCCCACATACATCATAGCATCTCTTAGCAAATCATCACACACAGTGGGAAAATCATATAACAACTCTAAAACATGATTAGCACATTCACTGGTGGGAACAAGTTGGGTAGGGGTGAATGGTTACTACAAGAGGGGGATTCGTTTGAACTGATTGGTTTAAGCAAAAAGGGGTATACGTGCTGAACTACATGGTTTCCCAACACGTTAATCAACCACCATGAACTACTGGGAGGGTCATCTGGCATCCCAGGTATTTCCCTGTGCTGATTGGTGGCTGCTAGGGGGTTGCTATGGATCCCCACCTAGCCTGACTGAGTCAGGGACACCTGGTGCAGCAGATATCTCCTGTTATTTGTAGATAGACAACTTAGCAGGGTGGGAATGTGCCTAGAAGTGCTCTGTGGGTCTTTCCAAGGACAAAGGTCATGTCCCTTCCTTGGACAGGCTTTGCTCTGAGGTTGAGGCTGGTTTTTCAGTTGTTGTTGTTTTATCTAAACCACTCATAACAATGTCCAGAATAAAGCAAGCACAATACAAATACTTATGGAGAGAACTGTCTGAAAGTATAAAGGCATGCAATTTTACATTAGGTGGGAAGAATAAGGATGTTGTCTATGAGCATGAAAGACAAACTAAAGAGCTCGAGAGAAAAATCAGATTTGGATCTGTTAGCACTGATCTGGGACAGTTCTGGGTGCTAGGAGGAAAGGACTTAGAATAATGACATGAACAGAGTAAATGGACTCGCATCAGGGAAGACTTCAGGAAAGTGGTACATTTGAGGTGATATTTGAAGGAAGTGACCTGAAGAGACAGGAAAGAATCATACATTCTCAGGGGTGATTATAACAATCTGCTAGTTAAGCTCTCAGGCTTTCTTTTGCATGGTAGGATATTCTGGATAGGCTTAAGTCTCCTCAGGTAGAAAGGAATTTAACATTGTTTTTCTCTTTTTGTTTATATATCATATTTTAATCCTTTAAAATGTATGACTAATACATGAGTACATTGTCTATAATTTTTAGGAGAATATTTAGTGTTTTTAAACATTTCCTAGCATGTGCCTTATTTTATGACATTTGTTTGTTCTTTCTTTCTCAAAAAGCTTGTAATCACTTGAGTACAATTTAGGAAGATGCACAGGTTCTATATAAATCAATAATTTTTTAAAAAGGATCAGTCATCTGAATAGAAGAATCCTTATGTTTAATGGGAGATGGCAACTTCCAATTTCAAAAGTACTTATTGACATTGGATTCCATTTACATATCATAAAATCTTGAACCAATTTCGATGCATAGGAATGGACAGGCAGATTTGGAGACCTTTTTTCCTAAAGCCGATAATGCCCTTACTTCTGCCAACTCAGCATTGTGATGTTGGAACAACTTTCTCTTCATCTTTCAGTGGAGAAAAATATGTATTCCTTCATCTTATCAGTTACTCCTAAATCAAGTACACTGGCACATGATTTTCAATCTGCTTAGGTTTTACCCTGATCAAAATAACACTGGGCAAGAGTGCTATTTCCCCACATCCTATATTTGTGGTAGAGATTGCTAAAGCATTCTTAGAACTAATTCTCACCAATTGTGTGTGTGGTTGTTATAATTATTTCAACAGCCCTATAAGGGTGTAGAGATGAAGACACAGTGAATCAAAGAAGAAACTTACTCAAGGTCATAACAGTAAAAAGCAGGAGAACCAAGATTCAAATACAGTTCGACTTTTCTTCTAAAATCTCTCACTTAATCATTGTCTTTTAATTACTGGTACCAGGGGTGAAATGTCATTGCATTCCTGTGACATGTTTGACAATTTATAACAATATAGATGTTTTTGTAGGAGTAAAGAAAGTGAGCCAGACTGTGGAAAAGAGGAGATTACAGACAATGAGAATGTCAGGCAACAAGGAAAGGAAGAGTGAAGAAGTTCCTAAAGACGGTAATGAATCAATCTTAAGAAATAAATAATTAAAAGAACATCATCAAAAAGTAGTACCAAAAGATAATTATGTTAGAAGGAATAATAAATTAAAGTAGAAGGAGTCAGTTATATTTCACCAGGAAGAAACGTACTCAGTGTTTAGAAAAGTCATAACAACCTGAAAATACAGGCCTATGTTGAAAATCCATCAACTATAATTGCTATTGAGTTGTTGTGGTAACGCTATAGTATATGTGCAAGTGGTCTAGATAAAAAAAATTAGGACAATCAAAATATTTATACTCTTCCATAAAAGAACAGTTATGGCATTGCAGAAGACAACATTGAGTTGCCTGAATTGCCTACTATTATTACCTTTGATTTTGATTTTGTCTAGAATCTGGGAGGATTACCAATCCAAAATGTAACTTTCTTTTAAATCAGAAAAAAACACCTAATTTTTCATATTCCAATATAGAGACATAAGTGTCTTAAAATGTCTGCATTTAGTTTTTATCATGTACTGTATTCTTTTGTCTAGCTGTGGGTAAAGAAGATACATCATCACTAACTGAAGTTGTAAAGCAAGTTACAAAACAACAACAATCACAAATATCAGAAATAGAAATAAACAAAAAAGTTTTGTTTCATTTACAGGTAACTTATTTCATATAATCTTTTAAATGTCTTCAAAATTTAATAGTGACAAAAATTTTTAAGAGAACTTCATATTGGGAATCAATTTTAATTACACTATACAATCAGTCAACAAATATATGAAAAAATGTTCATCATTGCTAGCAATTAGAGAAATTCAAATCCAAACTACTCTAAGATATCATCTCACTCCAGTTAGAATGGCAGCTATTATGAGACAAACAACAATAAGTGTTGGCGAGGATGTAGGGAAAAATGTATACTCATATACTGCTGGTGTGGCTGCAAATTGGTGTAGCCAATATAGAAATATGGAATATAGAAAGCAGTATGGAAATTTCTTGGAAAATTGGGAATGGAACCACCATTTGACCCAGCTATCCCTCTCCTTGGTCTATACCCAAAGGACTTAAAAACAGCATATTATAGGGACACAGCCACCTCAATGTTTATGGTAGCACAATTCATAATAGCTAAACTAGGGCCCACTTTCTATTGAGCATTTTGCTAAGCATTTTTCTCAACATTGTCCTTACCCTTGCATTGCTCATGATTTATTTTGGAAGGAGTCCAAGTAAACAAATAATTGCACTCATGGTGGTAGCAGCAACAAAAGAGGTAGGAGCCCAACACACTTAACACTGAAGAATTAGTGATTGCAAAAGAAGTGATGTTTCAATGTTGGGTTTTAAAAGACAGTTGGAATTCACTGATTAATTTGGTATCTGTCGGGTTTAGTCCTCCATTTCCTCCTGACCTGCGGAATAGATGGGGAAAGCACGCCCCGACCAGGACTAGCCAAAAAGGTAACCAGGACTAGCCAAGAAGGTAACAGGATGAGCAGAGAAAGGTAAAGGTTGAAGCCTGCACTCAGCCCTCCCTCACTGGAGGACAATGAGACACAGCAGGGAGACCAGTCAAAGCAGGATCTCATTTATTGATAAAACACATACAGCTAATATAATGTACAGGAGCCAATCAGGGTAAAGTTCAGCAGGGTGGGGAGAATTTACATCTACACCCATCCTACAGGAAGTAATGGGGGACTTGAGCTGTCTGAGAAACCTTTGGTTTTTAAACAAGAAGCAAATTAAAAATTGCTTTTATATAAAGAGAATTCTTTTTAAAAAATATATATATAAAGTGCTTGTTATAATTCAACATTCATTCATGACAAAAATGTCTCAGAAAATTAAGATTAGAAGGGGAACTTTGTCCATCTTAAAAAAAAAATAATCCTAAAGTCAACCATATACCTAAGGTTGGAAGACTGATTTTTTTTTTTAGAAAAGTATGACATTTTAATTTCATTTATTGATGTACAGTACACAAATTAAGAAATAAAATCATTACAGGGTTCTGAAATATAGTTTATGACCTAACATACCAATAAGTCCGTTCCCTGCAAGCAGCCATGTTGTAGGACAGATGAGGCAAGGCACTGAAGATAGCAGGAAACAGGTTTTTTTGGCTGCAGCCAGGTTCAGAGGGCACAGCCTTTGCTGTAATCAATCAATCCCCTGAACTCCGAGTTCAGGGAGTTTCAGAGTTTTATACCCAGCATGTAAGGGGAGGGGTTCAGAAGTTCACAGTCTGCAGAAGTTCACATAAAAGCAGCTTTTTCTTTCACTGTTCTGGGCAAGTTAATTCTTCAAGGACAACATCTGAGAAGGGGAGAGCTTCTTCTCCTCTTTCTTTCTTCCCCCTGCCAGCTGTTACCATGGAGCCCATTTGTAACTTATCTTAAAAATGTAGACATCTCTGTGAAGCCCAGCTCAAGGCCAGAGGCCTTGTTTGCACATTTCTTCAAAGTACTATACTGGATACGTTTGTGAAAAACTAGTAAGGGGGTGCCCAACACCTGGAGTGCTGGTATCTTCCTGGCCAGTGGCCAAGTAAACAGGGTGACACGAAAATAGGAAGTTTATCTACATTGGACTCTTTCACAGAGACTCTTTTGCTGACAGTCCCAAAATCAGCCATGATGAAGAGGACTTTTCTGTGAGAAAGGGGGTGCCCACTTCAGCCACATTAGTGGTTCAGACTTGGTCTTTGATGCAGTAGTTTTCACATCATTACCGTGAAATGCCCAGTAAGTAGCATTTGGATAATATATTATAGTAGACATGAGCTATGTGTCAATATTCCATCTTTGGAACAAATTATGCTTATTTACATGTTAGGAATAGGTGACTTTATCTACTTACCCTATTGTGAGTTTTAATGACTGATTTTAAGCTACACACGGTTTTCCCAGCTATTATTTCTTTCAGAGTTTCTAAAAGCAACAATTCTTATTAATGTTTGTAAAAGATTATATTGGAAAAGATAATGTTAAAATGAAGGCGCTTTTAGAAACATTTAAGGACAATATAAGGTACTACTATTGGAAAAAACCCTGTACATATTTTCAAGCAAAACACTTAAATATAATAGCAGTGTTTAATCAAATTGTTTTAAAATAGTAGTAGCTACACTACCTTACATACTGTACTATTATTGAAACCTCATAATTACAATTTGAATATACAATCTGACTTACAATTTCAACTATGCACAGCTTCTGAAGCATATTTTTCAGGTTTGTTTTTGCACATGAATTGAAGTTGAAGTTGGTCCTTGATTTGGAGAACTATAACTACCTGGAAGCACTAAATTTTAGACACAGTTATTGATAGTCAACAACAACAACAACAAAAAACGTGACAAAGGGAAAAGCAATAGTAACATGCGTGGAAAAGCAGCTGTTGCCCTAACTGCAATATCAGATCTAGAGAGGCCTCTGGGTCTCAAGGAATAACCCCCAAAGAAACCAAAATGTACAAGAGGAAGCAGCTGGCCAGCCAGTCAAGGGTATTTCCCACAACGGGGCAATCCTTAAAAAGTAGAGGCTTTGGACCTTTAGCATAAGAGAGAGACTTTCCATTCTTTGATTCCATGCACACTTGGTAAAAAGACAGAAGTCTGTCTTGACCCTTCATCACATGTAAACTACTGGTGCACTGCAGCAGCTCAAGCTGACTGAAGTGGAGGCAGTCCACCAGAAACTGAAGAATCCAGACCCCCATTCTCTTCCTCCTTCCCGTGAAGTCACAGACTATTTCATCAAGCCATCTGATGTAAGTAAGAGACTTACATTTTATAGACATAGTAGAGTTAGCTCATTATTAAAATTTGAAGAAAAGTCCAAAGGTGTGGAAAAACATGCTTGCTAACGGTGACTGCATCTACAATGACAATAACGAAATAGCTAGAAAAATAATTGTACTGTTTTAAATAATGAAAGAAGCTAATTAAAAAAAATATATTACTCATCTGCAACAGCTGATTAACTTAACAATGAGTATATTCCTTTTCTGTGAGCTGAATTCGAGTTATTTTTCAATTATTATATAGCTTCAAATTATAAATATAACCATCCTAACAGTAAAGAGATCATGAAGGCAGTAACATCAGATCAATTTTAAGTCATTACTCCACACAAAGCACAAGAGGTGCTTTTGGATAAAGGCTTTAAAAAGACAGTGACTAACTGTAGTAAAGACTCCAGTTCTGCATCATGGAATCTTCCAAGCCAAGCCACTTTCCACAAACACAGATTCAGTCTATCTTTTCTTTCTGGACCAATCTAGGAGTATCAACAAAATCTTTGCCATTGTAAAAAATAATAAAAAATGTTCCAATGCTTGCAGCTCCCCAGAAAAGTACATAAGCCAGTGTTTCTGTCCAAGTGTCACCAGCCATAAGCAAACAGATAATACACATTGAAAAGACAACAACCATAATAATAGGCAAAGCCTGGAATTTCCAGTCCCTTGGAACACTTAAAGGACTATGAGATTCTAATTCATCCACTAAATAGTTCCCAAGAAATAAGTCTATGGAATCCTGTCTAAGTCCATCAGAAAAGTTGATCTTGTAATATCATTTGAGTGAGTTCCAACCATTCCTTATGAGAACTAACTGAGTTCTCTTCTCAGTTCTGGTAAAGCCAGTCTTCAAGGTACTGGTTCCAGCATATTGTTTGGCACAAGCATTTGCTTTGTCAGCCCAGACATTTTTATAGATCTTCTGAAATTCCTCTTGTTCTTCAAGCTTTTGTCCCACATACAAAGCACCTGGTCTCTGAAGCTGGGCCTGAAGAGACCGATGAGCTAACAAACTCAGGATCACATTGGTTCTATCCTAGACAATCCATACAATTGCTGGGGAACACATCTTCCTGGTTTGTCACCACTTTGCCGGCAGAGTCTACTAGAAAATAACTTAATTCATCTTGAATTTCTGATACCTGATCCAATAAAATACTTAGTTGATCCCATCTCATATTTTTACATACCTTATGGAAGTCAAAGGCAATGTATCTGATCATTCCACTTCCCAAGGAAGACACCATTCTTGCATATGTTTGTTCAAGTGGTTTCTCTGAGCCCTTCTGGTTTACCAGATTGATTATGACTTGTTTTCCATAAATAATTACTTGTGAATCAAAATGCTTTGGAAACCATCCATATAATTTGCTTCTTTGTTGATCTGGGGTCATGGATTATACTTGAGGTTTGGTCTTTGGGACCGGAAGACAGGGATTGATCCTCGAGTCTGTACAAATGAAGCCTTGCACCCATTATAGTGCACAATTTGTTCTGTTTCTACAAAGTTAGCTGCATGGCCTTCAGAATCAATTCCTCTTACATAATAATCCACGCCAGCTCTGAAACAACTCCTCCTGGAAATGAGAATCCAATTGAAGTATTTTCCATTGATAGAACATGAGTGTATAGTAATAAAAACCATGTGACACTGGAAGAGCAAAACGATGAACCTCAGGCTAAGCAGACAGTTCTCTTAGAAGATGACCATTCCATACAAATCGCTGATCTGCCCGTTCCAAGAGACTCATTTCTTGCAATTCTGTACTAGTGTTGGACAACTGCTGCAAAGTATGGGTCAAATCATATGTTGTTGATAAGTAAAACCCATCCACACTCAAGACATGGTTT